ATGGGCATCGCACGAGGTCGATGTTATGAGCATCGCACCAGATTCAAACAAAGGTTATATCCTCGAGGTGGACTTGGAATACCCCAAGGCATTACACACATCACACAACAGCTACCCCCTGGCCCCCGAACGTATGAGGGTTAACCCAGACTGGATGTCTGAGTACCAACATAACTTGTTAGGTGGGCGGCTGGCAGACTCGTGCCCAACTTAATGAATAAGACCAAGTACATCGTTCACTATCGCAACCTACAGCTGTACCTGTCGTTGGGTATGAGGCTGACCAAAATACACAGGGTGCTAATGTTCAACCAGAGCCCCTGGATGGAACCTTACATCAGAATGAACACAGACCTCCGAAAGCTTGCCACCAGTGACTTTGAGAAAAACCTCTACAAGCTCATGAACAACTCGGTGTTTGGTATGACTATGGAGAACCTGAGGAAATGCGTGACCGTGAAGCTGGTTCGGTCGAATGAGGAAGACAAGCTCAGGAGACTGATAGCCAGTCCGGCATTCAACCGTAGCAAGATATTCACCGATGACCTAGTTGCCCTACACATGAAGAAAAGCCACATCAAATTCAACTGGCCTGTTTACTGGGGGGGTGAGCATCCTCGATTTATCCAAACACCTGATGTACGACTTTTACTACAACGAGCTTAAGAAACAGTACGACGACAGGTGTGAAGTGCTGTACACTGACACGGATTCCCTGCTGATGGAGATTCGAACCGAGGACGGTAATGAGGACATGAAAAAACGCCTCGATTTGTATGACACCAGCGACTACCCCAAGGACCATGCCATACACAGCACGGTAAATAAAAAGGTCCTAGGTAAGATGAAGGACGAGTGTGCTGGCACGCACATAGCTGAGTACATAGGTTTGAGACCTAAGATGTACTCCATCCTGAAGGCTGACAATGGTGAGATCCGGAATGCGAAGGGTGTTAAGAAGTACGTGGTTAAACAACACATCAAACACGCCAGATTCAAGGAAGCCCTGTTCAAGACCCGTACCTTTAGACATAAAATGAACACACTTAGAAGTGATGGGCATAGGATATACGGACTGACTATAAACAAGACGTCCCTGTCGCCGATGGACACTAAGCGTTGGATAGCTATTGATGGGATAAACACGTACGCGTACGGGCATGAGAAAATTGAACCAAGACATGTCATGGAACCAGAGAAAGTTTGAGGCTATTTACTACAGCCCGCGTGGGTACTGTATCGGGCATCAGTATGCTAGGGAGATGGCCAACCCGGGGAAGCGATCGACTGAATGGGTCGCGAGGTTACCCAAGGTGGTGTCGGCAATCAACCATGAAGCCACCCGTCTCACCGGCAAGAAACCGGCAGACGCTATCAAACTAAAATCAATAGTGGCAGAGTCGGCTGCTCCATTGCGTGGGAAAGAGAAACAGATACCAGTTAGGGCCCTAGTGAGGTATCTATACCAGCCGGGGGAACACGAGGGTGATAGCCGTAAGCGAGCCACTGACCCAGTATGGTCAGTCAAAACTTACAACATAGATAAAGTGGACATGAAAGCCGACGAGCCGAACTTGTACTACTTGAGAGATGGGCAAGGGAGAGGGCTCGTTAGAGAGGAATTATTGATCGTACCGTACGGCACAATGTTACCTCCTGTCAACACGACATAGCGGCACGTGGAGCGATGATGCAATCTCAGGATAGATGATGCAATCCCAGTAAAGACCCGTTAAACCGACATACTTCAGCTAAGTCCCCGGTAGCTCAGTCGGTTGAGTAGTGCGGTTGTGAGGTGTACATGTGGGGTTCATATCCCGCTGGCGTCTCAACTTTTTATAAGATCGGGAAAGCAGTAGGGGTAATGGTAGCTGGATCAAGGGTCCGACCAAAGCCTTATTTGTGAAATAAGGCTTTGCAGAGGCTTTTGTTGAAAGTGATTTCGTACCCCCATTCCCCCCTACTACTCAGGACCATGACATTGCAGAAAAGGAATTGCCACAGGTCAAAGAATGTGATCCCTGTAGCCCACACCAGTTAAGTTACCCTGAACAATCTCCAAATGAGTTCTTCGGCATGCTGTTATTCCACCCCTAATCATCACGGGACCACCACCAAAGCGATTCCTCTCCAAGACACAGGCCTGTGCATAACGTTCTCCCACGCATCTATAGGCACGTTGACGTCCATCACTATGGGAAATGTTAAACCTGGACTCATCTGTAAAACAACATTTCTTCACCAAAACAAGGGTCTGCGGACATGATTTCTGCACCACATTCGGCGAGCTTGTCGATGACGTTGTGTCAGGATAGGCCGTATGGCGGGACGTCATGGTCTGATCCCGTGATGACGAAAAAGTTGTCTAACTGCGTTGGGGTGGATACGGCGAAGTCCTGGGATGGTTCGGGCAGTCATCACTGCAGTCTGAAACCTGTGGCGAAGATGGGTCACCCTTATCCATCTGTCCTGTCTTGGCGTTGTTACATGTGGACGTCCAGAACGTGGCCGATCGATTACGTCATTTGTGTTCTGGTAGCGCCTCACCAGTGCAGAAATGGTGTTCCGGTGGCAGTGGAAATGTGCAGCCACTTGTCGTTGATACATTCCCCCACGGACCATCCCAACGGCCTCATGACGTTGTGCAGACGTGAGCCTTGGCATGCTGTGCGTTTCAATAGCCATTTAATTTTTTGAACGATCGCAAGGGCAGGGGTTGAGCTGTCCAAAGTGACAGTATTGTGTGGCATTCATTTGCTCTGTTTCTCTTTCCCGGAATGCACGTACAACAACGTATTGCACGTCTCAAGGGCGAAACCACTGACGTCACGGAACGTAGCACGTGCATGCATGTTGGATACATGTCACTAATCTCTGAGTTTAAATCCTTATGTGTCTACACAGGTGTGATAAATTTAGATTTTAAATTTTTGTATGTACAGTTTCTTTATGTGCCTAGTATACTTGTGTATGGGTTTGTGGCCTACATACATGCTATTGACCTGTGTTATTGCTGGACTGAACATCAGTGTGTGTGTGTATATATATAAAAAAAATGAGTCCAGATATTTCTTCTTGTCAAATCTCCTTTATATCTGCACAAGATCTTTCGCCGTTCAACGGCTCTTCAGGTGTACAATGAAAGCTGAGTGTCGTCATAGGCGACACATAATGGTAATAGCTATGTCGTCATCATGTGTATGACGTTAAGCAGTTAGTGACAATAGCGGGTGACAGTAAGGTTACGTTTGTGACGTCATATTTTTGACGTCATAGTTATAAACAATAGTGGTGGACGCGTATGCATTATGGTTTCAGTGCACAAATACATACTGAGTTACATTGGAAAGGTTACAAAATTATACTGTTGTATTAAGCTTAGGTTTAAACAGCCTTATGAACATTTGTTCTTTTTCCATCTGTAATTGTTTATCATTGTTAAACAATTGATAAAACGGAAAGGTAGTAAACTGGCCATTCCTGCATTCATCAATGTGTTTGCTTACATTTATACATCGCACATTAGGATCTCGAATTTGTTGTCTGTGTACAGTGACTCGGTCCTTTAGTTGCATTCCAGTTTCTCCAATATAATGCTCACCACATCCCGCACAAATAAAAACATAAAACATTTTTGCTGCGGCAGTTTATGTTGGTTTTGATAGTAAATAGTTTGTCTTCACAAAATGTAAATTTACAGTCTTCAGTTATGATTGAACAAGTTCCACATCGAGGTGTGTGACATTTTGTTACACTGGCAGCGTTTGTATCTTGTGAATATTTAGATGGACAATGGATTTGTTTTAGATTATAAAATTATTATAAGATTATTATGCCCATTATAAAAGCAAATCTTCCAATTTTGTATAAAAGTGAAACTATGAAAAAAGGTTTATCCAAGACTAAATTTATACGGAGCACTAGGCAGCCTAAAAATCTAAAACAAATAGCATGTTCATTCATAATGTATTCTGAGTAATAAATCCTCAATGATTTAAACAGTTTTCAATCGTAAGATAACAAAATGGACAGACAGTTAAAGTGATCCAAGCTGATATAATTGATACTTTGGTGTCAGAAAGCTGTACCAGTGTCACTGCATGCTATCCAACCTGCTAAGCTTGCTGGCCACATATCGGATTCACTCAATGCTCTGCTATTGATTTTGGCTTGAGGACCTGGCTTCCTCCATATCACTCTTATTCCTCAAAATTTGTAGCCTAGTCAATGCAGCTTTGAAAAGTGATCTGATAAACCTGAAGCTGCCAGATCAATACAACTCTGGTTCTCAGCAGGCAGGGAGATGTGCAAGGCTGTGGTCAGTGATTGTAGTCTGTATATACGTTTGCCTGTCTGTAACCAAATGGGGGATGTAAAAGGGTAGGTTGGTCTTTCCTGGCTGTAGATTAGGTCTGTTCTGAGTCCAGTCATGTACAAGCAAAACATGTGAGTCAGCATCTTGACAAAAGAACCAGGATGTAGCATTTTTTGCCTTCTTGCATAGCATTAACACTTGACATGCAGCACAGTTTTCTTCAACAATATTTTCTGATGCTATAGGAGAGGATATTACTTAATAATGGACTTGATTTTTTTATTTGGAATGCTTATCTACCATTTGTTTCATTTCTGGTATGTGAATCTGAATATATCGATTGTTGTTACAGTTATGTTGCTTTCCCAATAGCCCAAGCTATATCTATTGATTTATTCTGGAGCATTTATGTACACATAATATTGAAATGCATGTGTCTGCCAACTGCAATGAAATATCTTTAAACTTAAAAGAATTGACATTCATGATGGGATAATTATAACTTTGGCCTGTGATTAAATTTCTGTGTGAATCTAATCTGGAGGAGTTTTCATTTATGTTTATGTGAGGGAAGACATGTTTATTGCTGCGTCTTTCTCACAGATGGCAGTGAAGCACAACAAACCATGGTGTTAGTGCTGTAGAGAGAACTAATACAAGTATGTCTGTCCTTTGTGGTTTTCAGGGCCTCTGCTACAGGTAATTCATGAGAGAGGAAAATCAAGTCGTGGAAGACTGGGGTCTTTCAGCTCTTCATTTAAAGAATCAAAAAAGGAGGTAGTTCGTCAGATATTCCTTTTCACAAATCACATTCTGCTGACTGTGAGAGCTTCCAATGGCCGCCTTCATCTAGCAAAGGTTTGTACTGTACTAGATTGCAGGATATTTTGATTTTAGAGTTTCATTGTATTTGTGCAAGTTTATTTGAGCCAACACTAAATGCATTTCAGTGCAGGTCTGTGCTTTTTTGTGTAATGTCCGGTTGAGAAAAAATTGACTATTGCCAGGTCATTAAAATTTTCATATCAGATATTGATTTGAATGTGCATATATATTTAGCTAAACAAAAGAGCATAATGATGTAAAAATATATGTACCAATAATTAAGATCATAAATTAGTTGGTACTAAAGATAAGCTGTCTGCAACTCAATACAGAGCATTTATTAAATCATTTAAATTTATTTTCCTTGAACAAATTATGATATACAAAATCAGTAACTACCATGTCCATGACTGTATGATGATAAGAATATTGCCAACTTGACAAACAAGGAAATTAATTGTTGGTGGCAAGTCACATATTGATAACATCATAACTGGCTGCATATGTCCTCTATGGGTAAGATTCCCTTATACTATATTTGGAAATTAATTCAAATGCAAGTTCTGGGTATACATGGTATATTAGTGGCAAGTTTGGAACTGGGAAAATCATTTTTCCCAAAATAGAAACATTCATCAAAACTTAAATTTTGTGACTAGTTATTTCAGAAAATATGTATCACCTCATATTGCTACAGTTGCCATATCTAATGTGTTCGATAGAAGAATATGGGTTGAATTTTATCACAGTTCTGGGGAAATTGTTCAGCAGTATTTCTGTGATAATAGCTTTATATAAAACTGTAAGTTTATAGACTGCCACTGAATTTGCATAATGGCTAAATCACACGAGAACTATACACTCCTTAAGAAGGCATTCAAGCAATGTTTTAGTTCTGGTAACTGTTTGTAAATATTTCCATCTGCACCACATCAGTGTTACAGTAACGTCCTATAATATTTAATGTGTAAATGAATGAGACTGATTTCCATTCTTTTAATTGAATCAAAACCCAAGATGTAAACTCCTGATAAAACTACAGTGGAAGCTGTCAAAACAGGCAGCTGTCCAATCCGGCAAGTTGTCAACACCGGCATAAAATCTCAGTCCCTTCTGTGGCTAGTACATTTATCATCATATAAATCTCTGCAATCCAGCAGCTGTCAATTCCAGATCTCGGCATGAAATGAGCTGCCCGAATATGTGTTTATACAGTAATCAGCTCTGTCTAATCCGGCATGTTGTGAGGAGTTGGTTGGATATGTATTGTCACCAATTAATCCTGCGTTGAAACTACATGCTTGCTGACAAAGATAATTTAATCTTAGTTCAATATGGGTATACTTGTACATGTAATTAGTGAGTTGAGAGAGAAATTGAGAGAACCACGTTATACAACAATGTATATGAAAGTGATAAAACTGGTTCAGTTCTAGTCGTAGGTAACCGTGTCAGCTCTACATTCCGGTACTGTGTGTAAACCGGTTTATTTCTTCAGTCCTGATGTGTGCCGGTTTACACAGCTTCCACTGTACTGTGAGAAGTCATACTGTTTGGCTTTTAGCTCCCTTCATGGAATGGTGTATTGCCTATTGTCTGTCCATCCATCAGGTGGTTGATTGAATTACCAATATACAATGTAGCTTCCGGAAAAACAGAAGTACCATCGATCATTCAGTGTGCTTAGAATCATTTGTCCAACAAAGCATTATTTTATCTGTCACACTTTTCAGCATCAAGATAGATGGATCAATTTTTGTGTAATATTTCTTGTTGAGGTAAACAAATGCATTCTATTGAAAGGCAACTGCAAATGTGTTTAGATAAAATGAATAAAATGTGTCTAGAAAATGGATTTAAATTCTATTAAATTTCATTTATTTTTGCAAAAAGTATAAACCTCACAAAGATGCTGAATTAATTTTAGATACACTACTGCCTAAAAGTTCATTCCTCGCACACGTGTGTGCACCGCGTGACGGAACCTGTGTGAGTCGCGTTGGTCACTCATGTGGAACCCATTGACCACACCTGTGAGACCCGTGTGACACACGTTGCACACGGGTGTGAGTCGCGTTGGTCACTCATATGCAACCCGTGACACTCATGTTTCGGAGGGAACAAACATTTGACCAAAGGAGGACCCATCCACCCACAGTCGTGTTGTTTTCACTGGTCTGTTGAATACACTACCAACGCCACTGTCAGTATAATGCCTAATCAATAACCAACGTCATTTGGGCATTTGCAATATGTACATTTTCAACTTACATTAATAATTTGACGGTAAGACTAGCGTGTTTAGAGAATTCGTCAGTGGTGTGAAGCTTAAAAGCAAAAAACCGTCATTCATGGTAACATGTAAATATAAAACATCTCATAAAAAATGAAGTAAGTGAGATTGTACATAATATTGTAATTGCTTCAAAATACATTGATAGCAAGACACATCTTCGATCCTAAAGCTAATGTCCCACGTGTCTATCAGAACCAGCATGAGAAACTGATTCAATTATCAAAAGTTTGCCCTTACATAACATCCTCTGAATATGACTGGGTACGTAATTGTTAGGATTCTCTGTGCGAACGAATTACAAAATGAGAGACAAACGTTATGAATTTCACACCATCAGGTCACTATTGCTTCATTTTATCGAGACCTATCCCCTGAAAAAAACACACACTGAAGATTTAGTAACAAACATTCTCTGCGTACAGCAGTTTTACACATACCGAGCTATGACAATGACTGAACTGACTGACAAAAGTGAATGTGCATCTCACACTTTGTGATATAGATATAAAAACATTTAACCTGATGATAACTATAATGTCGCAAATTCGATTTTACATTAGACACATTATTTGATATTGTTGGATGGCTATTACTGGTAAATAAATAACGAAGCATACGACTTTATGATTGACAACTTGTTATTTATTGCATTACTTATGACCTGGAAAAGAGATCAAGGCAATTACGTAACATCGGCTGACGAGTTCAAGCTATATACTCTGTCAATCAACTTATCAATTAGCATCCAATCAGCATGTTTACAGTTTAATCCTTTCTGTGTATTGGCTTCACTACTTGTGCTATGTGTGTGCGTGGCATGTTCTCATTTCGCCTACATCCCAATTCGCCTACAGTCTTAAAACAACATTTCATGGTCTGTTGACTGTTGATTACGCAATGGTAAACTAGTGGCACCCCTATGATCTAAAAGTGGACTCTTCTAGTTAAAGTAGTGGAAGGACAACAAGACTTTATTTCTAATTGTCAGTTATTTATTTATTCTGTTATTTGTCATTTCCCGATCACAATGACATTCACATCATATCATAAATTCACATCATATCACATTAGTATTAAGGAAGTTAACTTGTGCAGATGTCAATTTAGGAGATAAACATACTGTGTTGAAAAATTAGAGGTTTATAACAAAATTATAATAGCTCTAAATTTGAATTAAAAACCCTATGTATAGCGTAAGTTTTTAAATACAAAATTTAGAGCTATTATGATTTAATCTCCATTCTACCAAGGTCTGTTATTAAGATTAAAAATACTACATACTCTATTGGAAAATCAGAGGTATATAACGTGATTATATACCTCTGAATGACTTTGATTAACCACAATCCAGTATTTATTGAAGGCATGGTAGAATCTCACTTCAACTTGATCAGGTGACCACCCGCTTTAAGGACCTAAATAGTTCAAGCGTTTTGAACATTTGTGATGTGCTTTCTTTGAATACAAATGTCAGTTGAAACATTTGATAGATAACATTTCCATCAGTGAAAATGACATTGCTACTTTTCGATAGACACAGAGACCAAACAAAGAGAAAGCCTTAAACTGGTTGTAAACAGTCTTTATTCACATGTCCTATGCATTTAGATAAACAATTTCCAAACGGTTCGATGTTTTAATATACCAGCTATGATTTAATTTGACATATATAAACGTTTATGAAATACAAGGAATTATGCGATATTTGTTTCATTTTTTTTATCTTACACCCAAAATTTAGTCTATCTAAATAGACTATCTATAGTCATCAACATATTGTGCATGCAGAACAACAGTGAATTTGGGTTCACTCCCATAACCCCTACATGCCACTACCCCTACACTCCAGTACCCCTACAGCTAGTTAAAACAACACCTAGCATTTACCTGTCTGATATAATAGACTAATCCTAAAGAGGGATTAGTGCATGGAGCATAGATGAGATCAAGGGATGCATAAATGTGATTAGTCTTTTGTGGCAAGGAAATTAGTGGTCTCATGATGAAAACAAACCTCAACCCTGAGTAGAAGAAACATACAATTGGAAAAGTGTTGTGATTGCTAAATGTTGTTAAGAAAAGTTGTTATAGTGCACTTTAATGTTACATATATTACAATGTTGAGAAGTTGAGAGAAATAAAACGTGGAGATGATACAGGAAATTGAGATTGTTCCATACAGTATATAAGTGCTGACATGAAACAAACATGGCATCAACATGGCTGGTCTTCGCAATGTTGAGTTTGTTATGTCACGGAGAGGTAGCCGTCAAGTTCTGTTGGATGGATATCTTCACACTAAGAATGTTGAGCGACAGACCTGTGTACACTGGAAGTGTGTGCAGTCAACATGCAAAGGAAGAGTCACAACTGTTGGCGATGTGGTAAGAAATACGACGAAGGATTCCACAACCGTCTGAATCGAGAAATTCCACACAGGCACCCGAACATCTACAGATTTGTAGAAGTCATCAGGAGAGTCGAACACGCCGAGAGAGTGAGGATTGCTCAGATTGACTTTGGTGCTGCGCCAACAAACAGAAAACGAGTGTACAGAGAGATCGACAACCGTCTGTGCAGACTCAAGGAACAGCTTCAGCGTGGACAGAAATCCCCTCTTCAGTTTCTTGACGCCGTCGGCTACCTGCTCAAGCTTGGATAGACTGTAACACTGACACTTGAACACTTGTGATAATGTAATAATGTGGTCTTTCTCTCATCCTGATATGTTGATATG